GGGCCGCTTCCCTTCCCCGCCTGCCCCCTGCTGTCCGGCCGGCCGGGCAGGGACTGGGGCAGCGAGTTGCCTGGGGCAGCTGCGACACGCGCCTTTCCAGCCATGGGCAGCGGCACAGCGTTCGGGTCCTTGCACCTGCGTTTGGCAGCCCGCGTTGTGTTGATTCGCGTGTTACATCACTAGACGAAATAACAAATATAGCGCCGCTTCCCTTCCCCGCCTGCCCCCTGCTGTCCGGCCGGCCGGGCAGGGACTGGGGCAGCGAGTTGCCTGGGGCAGCTGCGACACGCGCCTTTCCAGCCATGGGCAGCGGCACAGCGTTCGGGTCCTTGCACCTGCGTTTGGCAGCCCGCGTTGTGTTGATTCGCGTGTTACATCACTAGACGAAATAACAAATATAGCAACCGGCGCCCATCCCTGTCCCCGGGCCTCTTCCCTCCATCCCTCCACTACGCTGGGCAAACGAAGAGGACAGCGCTGCCCCGTTTATTCCCTCCAGACGTTAGAACCCCTATTCTCTGATCTAGGACTGAGGAGTTCCTACAAACAAAAAGTTCGTGAAACTGACCATCGCCAGATTACTGTAGGTACGGACAGGGAATGCGGTGTGGTGGTGTCTTTCATTGCTGTCTTCTCTTTCAGAGCTATCCAATGTGACTTTCAGTGTACCAGAATGTGAAGGAATGGCCTGTTGTTCTTAATTGACATCACCTTGTGTGATTTTTTTTGTCACGGGGGGGGGAAGACGGACAAATGATTTTATGTAAAACTGGTGTTCACTGTTCTGTTGTGCTTCCAGCCATCCCAATCGTCTGCCTCCTCCCATATTAGTTTGCAAAAAGAGAGATTTGTTTTGCATGTTATCTGGAAGATTAATCCAGGCTCTTCCATGTGAAAGTAACACATTTCAATGAGCTAGAACCCATTTACTGATCTCAACTCTCCCACTGTGCCTTGAGGAGAGAGATGCAATGTTTCAGATGGTCAGCCAGGTTTCAAACATGTTTCTAGGTTATCAGTGTACTGGACTCTAATGAACACATGGGTCTACCAGCTAAGAGTTATCACAGGAGAACCAGAAGTTAAACTATCTGTTCTAGTTTTAAGTTTATTTTGAGTGAATTATAGAAAATACACACCCAGCTTGAATGGCTGAACAGGTATTTTATATTTGTAAAATTTTTCCAATTCTAACTATTATAAATAAAGGTAAAAAGGAGTTTTTAAATGTGATTTCTACCTAGATGGTGTCTCTTTTATAATTCTTTCTAATGAACCCCTTTCTCATCTTTGTATAAAAAGGGTATTTTTCTGACTTTGGCCAGTATTTCCTTTTCCCATAAGAGTAATAAGAGCCTAAATTGACTTGACAGAACTTCAGTGAAATAGTTTTAAAATGATAAATGAATTTAGATGTGATACAGTTATACCTTTTGTAACCTCATTATTACTGTAAAACAGATTTGCAGTATCAAGAAATCTCAGAGGAGTAGCCATGTTCCTCTGTAACTTTAAAAACAAATAGTAGTGTAGCACCTAAGAGCTTGTCTACACTAAGAGCTTGTCTACACTACAGAGAAGATTGAAGCTGTGGCAGCCAAAATTCCAGGATTCAGATTAATGGATCTAGTGAAGACAAGCTAATTCAAAGTGAGAGGGGGCTCCTGTCAATGCTGGTAGTCCTGCTCCTCATGAGGAGTAAGGAAAGTGCTCCTGTCAACCTCCCGCTGCATGGATGGATCCAGAACACGATGTAAGATACTTCAACTTCAGCTATGTAATTCATGTAGCTGGAGTTTCATATTTTAAGTTGTCTTTCCCCTTTAGTATCGACCTGGCCTTAAAGACTAACCGAAATATATAGATTCATGAGCTTTTGTGGGCAAAACCCACTTCATCAGATGACTTGTTTTTAGAGTTGCAGTAGTTTGAATACTTTACATCACTTTAAAATTCTGGAATGTTTTACAATTTGAGCCCCTTTTATTGTGTTACTAGGTTATTGCTCGTAATTCTTCACCTGCATCTACATATTTTCTCATGCAGTAGTGGTGATGATGATGATTTCTTGTTTCCTATCCCAGATATTTCAATACTTTTCTAGGTCTGGCAGGAGCCAGTATCTTCTCAAATGTGGCATTGTATTACCAAGGTTTTTGTCTTTTGAGAAGGAAGGTTTCATACCAGTGATCCTCGTACATCTTCATAGTGTGTCCCACAACTTAATCATAAGAATGTCTTATGGGCCCCTTCCCTTTCCTGTCCTTCTCTTATGCACTCATGTGGAACATGCCACTACCATTCTCAGTTGTGCAATATCCTTCTGGCAATTGCTTATGTAAGCAGGGGAATGGTCCCGCTATTGTGGGGAACTTTCCTGGCTTCTATACACCCCGGTGAAATGAACCAGCGAAAGGATCTGAGTCCCCGCTCCCACTTCCTTTACCCCAGGGCTCCCTGATCCTGAGGGCTCCCCCTCCACTCTCCTGAGTAGCAGAGCCCTTGAAACCCCAACAAGGCTGGGCCCAGGTTTCCTGGGGCTTAATCCCCGACCTTGTAGTCACTAGGGGCAGGAGTTAGGGTGTCCCCACTCCGAGGTGCTCTCTTTACACTGCAGGCCTTCTTGGCCCAGTGATCACTTCATAAGGTTCAAAGCAAATACAATTTATTAAACAACAACTGATTAAAGAGAAAAGAATAAGAAACAATTAGAATGGTTAAATGAGAACACACAGCCCTGCTCTGTAGCACAGGGACATCAACACAGCAGTTTGCAGAGTGTAAGGACAGTTCAGTCTCTTCCTTAGAAGCCCTGGAAGTGCTGCAAGGGGCTGCAGGCTGGACACGCTTGCACTGGCAGTGACCACACAGCCTCAGTCTCTAAGTGGCCAGACCCCTCTCCCAGTCCAGAGCCTTTCCCCACACTTTGCAGGTCCCAGTAGCTCACCACATCCAGCTGCAGGCTGTGCTGCTTGGCCAGTTCCAGCTCTTTGTGTTGCTTCTCTGTTCCTTTTGGCTTTCTGAGCACTGCCAGTCTGCTGCTCAACACAGGGTCTGCACTGCTTGGCCTGTCTGTGTCTGGTTCTGTCGCTGCAGGACTTCTTCTTGTACTCCTCTTTCAGCTCTCTGTCTTTGCAGGACCTCTTCTGCACACAGCTTGTTTGTTCAGAGACAGAGCCAGAACAATCCCCACTTACAACCTGTCAGTCAGGCTGAGCTGGAGTGTTGACTGCTTTCCATTGTTTCTGGGGTCTGTCAGTCTCATGAACTCTTCCCCTTCTGAAGCTGGTAAACCAAAAAACTCCCACAGAGTTTTAGTAAGGGGTAACAGTCCCCTTACACTTATCTGAGAAAATAATACTAGAGAATTTAATCACAGTGCTTATATTTGCTCTTCGTTTAATCATCCCTCCCTCCTCTTATGTTCTTGTGTCTTTCTCACACCCTGCAGGAACTTTTCTGCCATCTGGCTCCTTCTCCTCACCCAGGCTGGTAACTTTTCTATGCCTAATCCTTTTGCTACTTGACTACCTACTTCCCTTCTTCAGATAGTCCTAATGTAGCCTTTCTTGTAGGAAGGTAGCCCTAGTGTCAGCTCCCATTTCCTTTTGCTTTTCTCTTCCTATGTAGGAGCAGCCTTTGTAGTGAAGTCAGCTAAATTGGTCTCCTCCCTTTCTAGCTGGTTGTATAGGTATTTTGATTCTTCTGTGAAGTTAAAATCTAGGATGCCTATAGATATAATTGTAAGCAGGAAGGAAGAAGGATGATCTTTGTGATTTTTCAGCTCTGAAGACTACTTTGGGGGAACCACCATATTATGATGCCTCCACATCAGTGATATTGCAGCATTTCCTTAGTTTTCCCCTGTCTCTTCCCCACCCCTTTTAATTTGGCTCCAGACTTTTTCAGGAATGTTAATTTTGTAAATCTGGGAACTATGACCACCCTCTTCAGTCTATCACAGGGCCTCTTTCCTACAGCATCTATTTCTCCTTTTTTAGGAGAATTCTGCAGCTACTCTTTCTTTGGGCTTCTTTCCATAGCTAGCAGTAGTACTTTGCTTATATTTTCACTAATATTTGTTTGGTTTGCTGCCTTTTCTGTGTGAAACAAAAAAGGCAACATGATATTATATCTGTTTGGGTTTTTAAAAATTGATACATTTGTTTTACTTAAACTCAACTGCTGGATCTACCTGACTAGAAACAGTTTGAAATTATTGCTTACTATTTGCACAGTGCCAAATATTTAGTTAGGCTCTTTACAGAACAAAGGACATTGCTTTTGTCCTGTAGAACTTACAATCTCATTTACACAAGATGCAATGAGAGGTGGTAAATGCTAAACAGTAGATGGAGGAGACTGGATGAACAAGGGTCACAATAACAAGTCAATTTTACCCATGAAAACTGATGCCCTAATAAATCTGTTAGTCTCTAATGTGTCACAGGACTCCTCATTGTTTTTCCAGATGCATACTAACACCACTCTGAGGATCAGTAAGGTTACTCATTTACAGGGCTCGACAAACTGCGGCTAGAGCTACTCGCTAGCCATGCACCGCGCATGCGCCAGACAGGCACTGCGCATGCGCGCAGCGCCGGTGAATGGGGCGCACAGAGCAACCGGCTGAAATCTACTTGCCACGGGCGAGTAGAAACAGCGGTTTGTTGAGCCCCGCTCATTTATACATATGACCAGGGCTCGACAAATCGCTGTTTCTACTTGCCTGTGGCAAGTAGATTTCAGCCAGTCACCCCATTCATTGGCAGCATGCGCATGTGCAATGCGGGTCTTGCGCATATACAGTGCAGGGCTGGTGAGTAGATTTTGCCGCCGTTTGTCAAGCCCTGCATATGACCATCACAATTATTCCATTAATGTCTGTTTATTTTTTGGTTTTCTTTTCTAGGGGATACACTTTTTGTAGTCTAATATGGAAGAAGTAGGTTTCTAGGAGAGATATGAGAGGAAGGGGGGGTCATGAACAACTGAGATAAATGATCAACTATGGTATCTAGAATCAGCATAATTGTTTGGCTGTATCTAGCAAATACCAGCTGATCTATTTACCATTATGAAAAACATTACACAACCCAAATATTTATGCCCTAAGATATCTATGGCTGTCTAGAGCATTCACATATTGTACTTTAGCTCTTCATCAGTTCTGTCTGGTTCTTTACTCCTGCCTACTTGCTAGCTGTTTAAACTAGGAACTTCTTTAGGTTGACCAGCTGAACTGACAAGACAGTAGTGTCTAAATGATAAAACACTCTGGGTTTGTTCCTGTCTGGCTCCTGTTAGCTATGAATGATCCTGCTACCTTTTCTGGACTGCTCTGGGTACTTCACTTTTTCTTAAGATTCCCTCTGTGCAGGATTCTGATTTCTGGTTCTTATCTGCTTAGCAGAAGACTGATGAAATGCACCTGGTTCTCAGTTTACCTTTGAAGTAGGTGGAAGCAAGGAATGGGACATGAACCACCCACCTTTTACCAATCATTGTGAGCCACTCCTTTCTCAAATATGAAACCTGCATATTCTAGACTATGGTTAGTCAACAATCTCCATACAAGAGATTGACTCTTTGAGTTCCAGCTGTTCACCAGATCCCAGTCACACCTTGTGAGGCATTGTTTTCTTGCTTACTCTAGTAAGTTGGATATAGTGTTAAATTTCAGAGGTCTTTTTCTCAAATCCTTCAGCATAATTGTGTGGTGTTTTATTTTTGCAGCCATTGCTGGTTTTGTGTGCTTGATACTCTTTTGATGTTAAGACGTTGTTTTCTTTTTTCCCAGAGAATCTTTTATTCTTTGAATCTTGATGTCTCTGGTATTAACTCCCCAGTGTGCTACCACAGCACTTTCATCTCATTATTGTCTGAGTGATCCAATACCCATATTTTCTTGGTGTATCACTGCTGCATAATCCAGGGGAGTTTCTTTTAAGTCCAGCATGATGCTAGCTCCAGGGTGCTATCAACAGTTAAACCTGGAAGTGTTTGCTTGAATTAGCCAATACTACTGAATGCCTGGAATATGTGTCAGAGTTGCCCAGGTAAAATCCTGGATCCCAAGTAGCTAGCCCAGAGGAACATCTTCATCCATGAAGCACTTCTACCATCATCCACCGTGCAAGGGCTCCACTTAGAACCTCAGTATTTGAAGACAGTGATACTGAGCACTGGCCTTCACATGAGCGACCAGGGCAAAAGCCGACTCCAAGAGAGAACTAGTAGCTCCCCAGTATTATTCTCTTGAGGTCTCTGATTTGAAACAGCTCTGTATTAAGGACTCTGGATTTTTCCCGCTAGTTTCCATGTGTTCAAAGTGGATACAAGGATAATAATTCCAAATATTAGTACATGGCTAGTGATCTGGCTCTACCCTCTATTCCTCCTCCATGAGGCTGACACAAAACCCTCCAGTGCTGGCTTTGAGATATTCCTTTAATTGTGTGTGTTAATGTAACCACACCTAGGCTGTGTCTAAACTACATCCCTTTCTCGAAAAAGGGATGTAAATTAGACACTTGGAAATTTTAAATGAAGCAGGGATTTAAATTTCCCATGCTTCATTTGCATAATGGCGGCTGCAGTTTTTTTCAAAACAGAAATTTTTGATAGAAAAACAGCAGTTTAGACGGGGATCTTTCGAAAATAAAACCCTTTTTTGAAAGATCCTGTATTCCTCAAAAAATGAGGTTTACAGGATCTTTCGAAAAAGGGTTTTATTTTCGAAAGATCCTCATCTAAACTGCCATTTTTCTATAGAAAAGCCCCATTTCGAAAAAAAACGTGGCCGCCATTATGCAGATGAAGCATAGGAAATTTAAATTGTGGCTTCATTTGCAATTTCAAAGTGTCTAATTTACATCCCTTTTTCGAGAAAAGGGATTTAGTCCAGACACACATCTAACATGGTTCACTTTTTAGCAGTTGTCAGAGCTCTCAGCTCAGTTCCCACCAAGTGACCAGTGACCACAGCCTTTGAGTGAATGTTTTCAGCACAAGAAGCTCTAGCTTCAATGCAGCCAATACTACTCTTCTGACAAATGTAGAAATATGAGAATTGCCACAGTGGATCAGACCCATTGTCCATCTAGTGCAGTGTCCTATCTCTGACAGTGAACAGCATCAGATGTTCCAGAAGAAAGTGTAAAACCCTGCAGTAGTCAGATGTGAGATAATGTGCCACTGT